CTGTGCTGGCTTTGGCTGGTTAATTTTCTTTGTAGTAGCTAGTATGGGGCTATGTTTTGGATTTGTGCTGAAAACTGTTGGTAACCCAGGGATGCTTTCCTTACTGCTGAGCAGTGCTGACACAGAGTCAAGGCCTTTTCTGCTCCTCAGCCCACCCCACCAGCAAGGAGGCTGGGGTGCACAAGGAGCTGGAAGGGGACACAGCCAGGACAGCTGACCCCAAACTGACCCAAGGAATATTCCATACCATGTGATGTCACGCTTAGTTTATAAAGCTGGGGGGAGAAGAAGGAAGGTGGGGATGTTCGGAGTGATGGCGTTTGTCTTCCCAAGTCACTGTTACACATGATGGAGCCCTGCTGTCCTGGGATGGCTGAACGCCTGCCTACCAGTGGGAAGGAGTGAATGAATTCCTTGTTTTGCTTTGCTTGCATGCATGGCTTTTGCTTTACTTACTAAACTGTCTTTATCTCAACGCTCAAGTTTTCTCATTTTTACTCTTCTGATTCTCTTCCCCACCCAGCAAGTAGCTGGGTGGTGCTTGGTTGCTGGCTGGGGTTGCAGGAAGGTGCAACACAAGTGGATACCAGCACAGGGCATTTGAGATTGAGCTGCAGAGGGCAAATCTACTCCCTGTCTGCAGAGGACTGATCTCCCTAATAGCAGCGTGGCTGTGCTACTGCACTCATAAGCATCTGCATCTGGAAGCAGTGCTGGCAGCGGCCCAAAGCAGTGCCTCCCCCAGCTGCAGACAGCTCTTGCTGGATATCTGTGGCCACCAAGTGCTGCTGAAGGTTTGGACACAGTTGTGTTGGACAGAGGCGCCGCTGCAGTGTTTCTGTGACCAATACACCTGGTACCACCTCAAAAACAGACCTGAGGAGCTGGGTTCATGGGCCAGACCTGCCTGGACTTGGCCCAGGGCCTCAGGGATGAACCCAGAGTGAGCTCAGGGTGTAGTTTGAGGTGACTTCACTGACGTTACGAACTTTGCTTACCTCAATGCACTGTCCCACTGAACAGAGGGAATTGTTTCAAATCTGTGCACGCTAAAGGGTATCTTGCCAGGAATTTGTAATAGAAGTGGAAAATCCTAAAGGACAGCAAGCAAATCCTCCTCAGCCTTTTCCCCCTGAACCTGAGTTGCTCCAAAGGTGACCTCTCTCTGTCCTTCCTTATGCTGCTTCAGGGAGGATGCAATTAGCTCCAGTGTAACATCATTAATAACAGCAGACCAGCCAAATGCCCTGGGTGCCCATGTGGCTTTTGAAGTCATCTGGATGGAAAGTATTTCCTTGGCAGAAGGGAGCTGTAGTGCAGAGGGGGTGACGCTAGAGGGGTAACACTGGCATCTGGCAGATGCAACCAGGACCAGGGCGGCAGATAAGCAAACACAACCCTGCAAATGCAGCTGAATAAACCCATTTTGATTTTATTTTCACTGCAAAACACTTTCCCTTGGTTAGGGCTTAGCTGAAAGGTGATACTGTGTGTGGAGAAAACACATATAGTAAAGGCAGCCCAAGAGGGATTTTCTCATGCTGTACCAGCGTCGGCAGGAGCTGCTGCTCAGCTCAGTGTCTTGATGAGATAATAAGTGGTTTTGGAGAGCAACTTTAATTAAGCTTCCTCTGAATGTCCCATCTCCTTAATTAAATAACATTTGCAGTGCTCACACGTCTGTTGGTTTTGATAGGTACCCTTCTCTTCTTCCTAAAGCAGTTTCTGCCTGCAGGCACTGTGGTGGCATGCGGTGTGACAGCCCTGTTCTGGCTCCCAGAGAAGATGCATCAGTGGGAGTGACACAGCTGGGGGGGCAGAGAGGGGCAAACAGGGGCTCGTTCAGCTAAAACCCTGTGAGGAAGATTTAGATAGCAGTAGAATACCAGAATTTTTTTTTCCACATGGGATGTCAGCAAGCTTCTCTTGAAGGAAATTTGTTTTAACTGGGGAAATTGGTCTCCAGGTGACCATTTAGCCTGTGACACATGGTCCCCAGGGAAGAAGCTGCAGCACCTAACGGGCTTTGACGGGTGCCCCATGCAGGGAAAGCGGACACTGGAGCATTTCTCTGCAGTTTGGAGCCACGGCAGGCTGCCCAATGGGCTCTGCAAACACCCCTGACCTCAAGTAAAGTTGCAAAGTAGTTGGACTTTTTTTAATTTCTTATGTTTGACCTGAAGAATGCCTCTGCTTGTTTTGTAGTGGATTGCAGCTGCCTGGAAAGGAAAACATGAACCGAGATTTTGGAGAAAAAAGTGCAGTAAACCTTTCTGCTTGCCTTGGTACCTTGGATTGACTGACGAGTTGCACCAGCACATCAGGATGCAGCTGAAGCCCAGGCTAACGCGGCAGTACCTAACCACAGCGACAGCCGGTGTGCTGCCGAGCCAGCTGTGCACCCGGATTAAGGGTACTTGTGTTGGCAGCCCTCCTCAGGCTATAGATAGCCATGCTCCATCTCTGCTGTGGGCCTCGCATGGGGAGGCAAGAGAAGCAGCAGGAGTGGATGGTTTTCTCTGGGACACCCCCACACCTGCTGCAGCAGCCTTGCCCTGCGCTTTGCATGGCAGAGGCTCTGGATTTCTCTACAAAACCCCAATTCTTAACTCTTTTATAAGCAAACCGCTCTGGAGAGCCAGGGGATGCTGGAAGCTTTGGCTCTGAGCAGAAAGTGGGGAGGCCAAGGTTGGCATGATGCCTTTTGCCTGTGCCTCCCTCCCCAGGAGGAACAGCACCTCTTACTGCCAGATGGATTTCATCCTTCCCCTGTAGGCATGACTGGTGTTTTGCAAGTCTCTGTTAGCATCAGGCAGTTGCAGAAGTGTGGCTTTCCCATGTCGGCATGCACAGTGGTGTGCACGGTGGCAGTGGCACAGATTTCCCCTCTCTAAGCAGACAGAGACCCTTCTTCTACATTCAGACCTGGATTTCATCCCAGCTTCTCCAGGAGTGTGGCTGCGACCCTTCGAAGGCAACGTTAGAGCTCCTGCCATGCATCAGCCCTAGATATATTCTGACACATCCCAGGGGCTGTTTTCAGGGGGATGACTCAGAGCTGTCACCTCCTGGGACAGAGCCAGGCACAATTCCTCACCCTCCGCTGAGGCCGCCCTGGTTCCTGGCAGTGCCTGGGGCCAGTGCCCACCGCCCTGCTGGCTCTGCAGGGAATCCTGTGGGGAAGAGTAGCCCGGGGCTCAGACTTACCTCAGGGCAGTGCTTCACTAGGGGGGTCTCCATGAGGGTGCCCAGAAGGGTTTGGGTGATGGTTTGGTGGTGGGGGACAGCAGGTCCCTCATCCTAGCCTGTGCCCTCACTTAAGGACAGGCTCCAGTGCCCTTTAAAAAAATAACTACTACCATTTGCAGCTTTTTCTGCCTTTTCTATGTTCAAGGCAACCAAAATATTAATAGGTTCCAATTTGGAAGACATGCTTCAAAAATTAATTCCTTGAATGCCCCTATTTTCCTTTTTAATACATCTGCCACCCCCATGCTGAGAAGAGGCAGAGCCCAGCTGACGCCTGGGTAAATCAAGGCCAGCGGACGCCCGCAGGACTGCAGTTCATAGCAGACTCTGCAGCAAGTTAATCTTTTGGGACTGCAAAACCCAAGAGGATGTGGCGTGGGGACGCGGCTCTGCGCTCACCTGTGCCTTCACTTTGCGCTGACACCACCCCAGGTCACTGGTTAACGTGACTTTGGCTAGGCATTACATAGAGACTGCAGGGGTTTCACATGTAACATGATTTCTGTTAAAGGGAAAAGGGATTTTTAGGAGAGATGAGACCTAACAGCTGCATTCATAATATTTTCCGTTTTGCTAACTAACGTCCATATGAGCTAGCTGGAGGTAAGACTTCATCACCCTGAGACACCAGAGCCATCCTTTGGACACAAGAGGGAGTCCTGAATCACCAAAAAGAGAAGTTTTGCTTTGGTTGCTGTGGATTAAAACGTTTTTCCCTGTACTGAGAAAACTCTGGTCATCACTCGGAGGCCTTTGGCGTGTTTTGCTCTCCACCACGGTAAATCCACAGTAAATCCAGGAGAGTGGATTTCCCCCGTTTGCAGTGGGCACAGGTCAGCTCGCTGGTTGGGTGAAGTGAGTCCCGGTTTCCTAAAGGACTAAGAATTATCCCTGAAATCAAACACAGCTGCCAGCCGCCCCCACCCCATTGTGCAGCCCCAGCTAAATGCAAAAAAGGGAGGCAAAGCTCCATGTGCACCCATGCTTCTCCCCGCTGTGGCACCAGGACCTCGCATTCCCCCTGGCCTCGGTGCCTGCATGCACACGGCATCGGCTCCTCCGAGGGCATCAGTCTGGGTGCACGTCTCCCAGCAGCACATCCCCCCCATGGGCTTGGGGACAGCCGGCAGAGGGGACCCCAATACTCCCTGCTCCTGGGGACATTTGCTGCTGGACAGGGATATTTTGGGAGGCATGCCTATCCCGTATTACCCAATTTAATTAGGCACAGTATAATCTTTCTAACGCAGCTTCCAGGGGGGAAACACACAGGAGGTGGAGGTGACATGGTGGCATAGGTCCAGTCAGGACAGCCAGCTACCGCAATATATCAGCAAGGGGCCTGCTGAAACCCATCTCCAAAGCATCGTCTATTAC